TATCCACAGAGAAAAAAGTTCCTTGTCAATGATATTTTTACAGTGTCTAGCAATAAGATATATATATATATCTTATTAGACGTTTTGTTGTGTACTATTGCTGAGTATTTTTACTCGTTACTTGTATTTTGACTCGCCCTACGGGCTCGTCAAAATACGGCACAACGCGTAAAAATACCCAGCAATACTACACAACAAAACGTCTAATAAGATATGTATTATTCGTAAAAATGTTTTAGAATCTGAGAAAGCTGAAGGCAATAAAATCAGGAGTGTGAGAGTATTGCATGAAGGGGGTTTAATGATCGGCATGAGCAAGAAAAGTACACTGCTCTTCGCAAGCGCCAATCGAAATAATGCAAGGTTGTCCTGCTCCTAAGATTTTACCTTACAAACCTCTTTCACAGTTTATAAAAGGAATTGACATAAGTGAAGTGAGGGATCTAAAAGAATTTAGTGAGCAAGCAGGCTTAAATCTTGTCTCAGGGGTGTATAGAAGTCTAGAACCATTACTTCTACAGTTAGCATCTCTTTACATTAACATTAATGCTACCCTGCCTTGCTTAGATTGGTTCCATGACGAGGTTAATGTGTTTCACGTTGCTGTAGGTGCTGATGGAGCACCATTTGGAAAGGATGAGACAGCAACAGCTTATTTGGTAAGCTTTTTGAACCTCGTAGAACGAGTTGCCAGTTGTGAAGACAACTTTCTTCTCTTGGGTTCAAACTGTAAAGAAGATGATCCAGTTATGATCGCAAAGCCTAAACCGCAAAGTAGAGAGACGCTATCCGACCGCATCCTCAACTATTGAGCTTACGAACAAATTTGCCGACTTTTTTGACAAGAAGATAGCAACAATAAGAACAAAGCTATCCAATGAAGCAAATACCAGTACCCAGTCCTGGGAAGCAAACAAGAAGCCTTGTCATGCCGAATTCAAAGAGTTCAGAGTGATGTCGGAGAGAGAGATTGAGCGTTTTGTAGACAATATCGGTAAAAAATCCTGCGATCTTGATCCTATACCAGCATCTATTCTAAAGGAATGTAAATCAGCCCTTCTACCTGTCTTAACTAACATCGTTAACATGTCGCTCCAATCAGCATCAATGCCTACTGCACTAAAAGAAGCAGCGATCAAACCGAAGTTGAAGAAGGACAACCTGGACTCTGAGGATTATTCAAATTTTAGACCTATCTCAAATCTGAAGGTCACAACAAAGATAATTGAAAAGGCAGTTTTTTGTCAATTGAGCGATCACCTACGTGATAATGATCTAGAGGAATCTTTTCAGTCTGCGTATAAGCGTTTTCACAGCACGGAGACTGCCCTCTTGAGGGTGCAAAATGACGTTCTCTTAGAAATAGAC